GAGAGAGAGAGAGAGAGAGAGAGAGAGAGAGAGAGAGAGAGAGAGAATATCAGTGTCATCGCTACTAAGGAGAATTACTTTACCTGTGCAAGCGCCACGTCAATGGTCCACATATTTATGATGCTGTCCAGCACTGCAGTGGTGATACGAGTGCCATTAGGGCTCACAAGATAGGGATTGGATGTGATATGATTTGTCGAGTCCATGTCGAGACGAAACTGTAGTTTGCGGCCCACTGAAGAGTCAACGTTAAAGGTGCTGTAGACAGTCAAGTTGGCGCCTTGGTACTCCATCTCATGGATCTGAACCATAATAACAACATGAGTCTTCCTCCTGCGATGAATATCACACTCACTCACTCAGGCATGTCATCTATTTATTGGTTAATAATAGTTATGTGAGTATTACAACTGTCATGTATTCAAATAGCCTCAGAATATAGCCGCTACCCCCCCCCCCCCCCTTTACCAGATGTTACAGTACTTGGCGTGAATTCGGGCAGCTTAAATTATAAGCGCAGCACATATGTGGATGAATTGTGCCTTTGATGATAAAAGCACGAAATTTGGCACATATTTAGGGTATGCCTAGTTAAAGAAGTTTAGCCAAAGGGCATCGTAGATTTAACCCGTGAAAGCAATGGCGCCCATAGTCTATTAGGTTAACTCCATTTGATGGCAAAAAAAAAATTCTTACTTCATTCCAGTTACTAACTCAGCCGGCACAGGATCCACCACACTGGCAAAGAGTTGTGTATGGGAGGGCTGGGTGTACCCTTCTTAGTCAGTCCGCATATATTACCTCTATAATTTGTGTGTTCGGTTAATTTGTTTTTATGCCTGTTTCCTTGGCGGTAATCAGATTTGGATCTGAAAAATTGGGCGACTGTTTAGAGATCCCTTCAGGTTCTCTCAACATGATAGCGCTGTAAGCTTAGCCTGTTTATATTGTTTGTAAATTATTTCAGCACGAGACGCTGATAAATGTGTCCGTACCTTGCCATGGATGTTTGTAAAAATATTGATTTGCTTTTTAGAGTAATCGTCCATGTTGTACATAAGTAGAGGAGTTCCTGTAAGAACATCATGGGGTAAACATTTGTCTGTGCCATAAGCAATACAGTAGGGGAATTGGCCTGTGGAACTATTGATCGACCCATTTATCGAAACTGCTACTTGAGGTAACCAGTCCTCCCATGCCATGTGCATGAGTTTCATAATATCTCAAGAATTTCAAGGATTTTATATTGGTTCTTTAAACCAGACCAGTCGCCTGTGGGTGATAAGTTGTGATGTAGCTTTGTTGGATGCTGTATTGCATGAAAATTTGTGTTAAAGTTTATTCTTAAACTCTGATACGCTGTCGGATAAAATAACCTTGGGTGTCGTGAATGGGTCATATCATATTTTCACTAGAGCGTGGGCTACTGCCTCGGCTGATTTTTCCTGCAAAAGAACTGAAATAACAGATCTGTAGAAGTACGTAAATATAACTTTGGTGTTTCTTCGAAAGTTGTAACAAGTCAATTGCTCTTGTGTAGAAATGACGTTACAGTGGAGCCCTTAGCTCAACACACGATGAACCTTTAGCAATGAGTTGTTCGATGTCTATATTCATGATATTCCAATTCTAAGGTTTTCTTATTTCCGCTAGGCATTTGTCACGTCTGGGATAGCCTGCATGAGGGACATTGTGGCACAGAGTAAGTACAGCCATTCGTAGTGTGTCAGGTACAGCAATTTGTGTGACAGTATCCTGTGCATTCGGTCTGCAGCGGTGGAGTATGTCTTGTCGTAGTTCAAACTGCCAGAACAGAAGAGGTAACTTAAGTAGATAAGCTTCCTCCCCCGACTCTAGAGCAAAAATGACTGTAGTCCACAAGGAATCAAGTCATTGTTCACCCCGTAATTGCGATAGCGTAAACAAAGATACAGACGTAACTGGTCTGGACAAAGCATCAGCGACAACGTTCGCTCGTCATAGAAAGTACTTGAACACGGGGGGCGAATTCTTGAATAGTTAAATACCAGAGTGCGAGTCTGCCTGAAAGGTTTTTCCAAAAGAACAACTCCGCCACAGCTACATGATCCGTATGGACGGTTATGGGATATTAAAAAAATAAATCCAAAGGAAACTTGCAAAAGACCCATAACTTTCGGTGGTGCTTATTGAAGTATCAGAAATACCATAGAGTAACTCAAATAGTTAGAAATGCCAATCAGCATCAGGCGACAGTAATAAAACCTGGAATGTCATAAGTTCTATTCAGAACAGGAACACTCAGCCTTCGGCCCCTCACTCAGCTTTTGTGATAAATGATTCAGTTGTAACGGAACCCTCCCCCATTGTCAACCACTTCAATTAATATTTTATTGATGTTGGCAAAAATCTTGTAGAGAGCATCCCAGATTACCAGGAGGAATTTTGAGCCTACCTCCAAAACAGACAGCAAAATGAGCTACTCTTATCTCCTGTCACAGCAGATGAATTATTTGCCATCATAAAAATGTCCAAACATGCAGCAGCAGGCGAAGACAATATACCAATGAGCACCATTAAGAAAATAGCCCATTTATTACTACCTGTCCGAATACACATTTGTAACTCCTCCTTCACTAGTGGTGTCTTTCCGGATAAACTGAAAACTGCTAAAGTTCACCCAGCAAAAAAAAAAAATCTGGGGACAAAGGTCTCTTCAAGAATTACCGCCTCTTATCAGTCCTCCCAGCCTTGAGTAGGATACTGGAAAAGCTAGCATGTAATACAGTAGACTAAATTCCTTCTGCAATGCCAATAACATCTTCACAGACTTCCAGTTTGGATTTAGAGCTAGAAGGACGGCTGAGAGTGCTCTGCTATCCTTTACTCATGACATTTTAAATTCTTTGATGACAGTCAGTTCACAGTCGGTGTATTCTTGGACCTCACTAAAGCCTTAGATACTGTCGACCATACCATCCTCCTTTCAAAGCTTGAACATTACGGCGTTAGGAACCTGCCCCACAATTGGTTTACCCCATATCTGTTCAACAGGATGCAGTATGTCTGCTATAATAATTACCAAGCAGACTCTTCACCAATCTTGTATGGCGTCCCCCAAGGTTCCATTCTCGGCCCGGTACTGTTCTTGTTGTACATAAACGACATATTCCACGCCAGCACACTCATAAAATGCAACTTATTTGCAGTCGATAGCAATCTTTATGCCAGCAACTCAGACCTCCATTCCTTGATGAGAACTATGAACACTGAATTAACTAAAGTCAGGACTTGGGTAATAGGTAATAAACTGACCTTAAACCCTGAGAAAACCCACTACACGATCTTTCACAGAAGGAAAAACTTACCCCCAGACCAGGACCCTCTGTACCTTGGTAATACAGTCCTCAAACGCGAACAAAATACTAAATTCCTCGGAGTTATTGTTGATGAGAAACTTAACTGGAGAAACCACATACAAGCCATTCACAGTAAAGTCAATAAACAGTGTGGTATCATATATCACACTCGACAGTCACTCACTCTCACAGCAATGAAAGAAATCTATCATGATCTTGTTTACCAACACCTGATACACTGTCACACACTATGGGGGAGCCTCCAGCTCTTCAAAAACATAATCTCTGGTTACTGCACAAAGGAGAGTTGTACGGACAATGACATACTTGAAAAAAAAAAGCAGATCACACAAACGAAAAATTTGCTATAGTGAAAAATTTCAAATCCGAAGATAGTAACACCTACTGCTGTGCCTTCTTTGTCTACAAATCTATCAATTACTTGCTTGACAATAATTATTTCCAGTTCCGGAATAATCAGAGATACAGCTTAAGGCACCCAGAGCTACAAAGACCACCCCCCATGCCCTCCTCTCAGTCCCAGACCTCCATAAAATATCACCGTGTGAAGGTGTGGAACAACTTACCCCCACCCATCCGAGCAAAGACTACGCTCCTTTCCTTTAAATCATCTCTTAAAAAATATCTTTTGTCTAAGTATTAATGTTTCTTGTAACACCTACTATATTTACAGTACCTGCTTTTATTGTACCATCAAAACTGCTTTATCGGAAATTATCATGTAAATAGATAAGTAATTATCATTGCAATAAACATATTTGCCAACTAGACATAATCCTGACAGCTCTGTCCTCTTGTTCAACCATAATACTGTACAACCCATGTTGTACTGCTCCCCCATTATACTTATGTTTTCAATTCCACTGTAATTTATATATATATATATATATATATATATATATATATATATATATATATATATATATATATATATATATATATATATATATATATATATATATATATATATATATATATAATTAAGCTAACAAAATAAATAAAATTTAAAAACATTGAAGTGATAACCGAGGTAACATTATGAGATGTTCTTATTACCACCATGCAATTGTATTATTCCAGATGATACTAAATGTTACATAATACTTGCTTGAGATCAAAATATAGTATATATGAGGTGCCTAAAAGAGAGTTCAGGTTCTCAACTGGCTCAGCCATGTTCATATTGTTATTATTATCCACTCTGTATCTGTGTTTTTCTGGCTAAATAAACTGTTTCAGTTCAATTCAATTCAATTCAATTCAAACTTCTTGATTGACCAGACAACAGCTAATACTTCCAGGTGCATAACTGAATAGCTTGTTTCTGCGTCATTAAGTTTACGACTGGCGTGAGCAATCACTTTATGTTTCCCTTGTGTGTTCAGCTGCACGAGAACAGCCCCGAACCCTTGTCCTGAGGCGTCGGGACGGAGAGTAAATTTGTTGAGTGCAGTCAGGAAATGCCAAAATAGGTGTTGTCTTCAATCCAGTAAAACTATTCTCCTGTATATCATTCCAGACAATATTCGTGTCTTTCTTGAGGAACATAGTCAGCAGCAAAGCGAACGTAAAATACATTTTATAGCATAAATAAATGGCAATAACCTGATAAACCAAGAAAACTACGCACCTAATCAACGTTTGTAGGACGTGAAAATTGTGTAAGGCTTTGAATTTACCGTCAGCTGCATGAATTCCGTCTCCATCGACTACTTGACCAAGGAGTTAAGTTATAGATTTTAAAAATTCACATTTGGAAAGTGTGACTTTAAGTCCCGCTGTATAAAGCTTGTTGAAAACTTCCGCTTGTGTGTCGGGATGACTCTCTACGGTTTTGCTAACAATGATAAAATGATCAAGGTAGGCATAAACTGTGCTGCCTCAGGTTAAGGTAACTAAATCCTAATATACCACTGGTTAAGTTAACTAGCCCCTATTTTTACCTCTGGTTAAGATAACTAGTACCTAACTTTACCGTCTTGTTAAGGTAACTAGGACCTCGTTTTAGCCCTGGTTAACGTAACTGGGTTCTAATCTACCCCTGGTTAAGGTAACTAGACCCTACTTCTGCCCTTGTTAAGGTAAACTAGGACCTAGTTATAAGTCTGGTTAAGGAGTTTATTTTACCCCTGGTTAAAGTTACTAAACCCTACTTTTAGTCCTGGTTAAGGTAACTAGGACCTAGTTTTCTCCCTGGTTATAGTAACTAGACCTTACTTCTTCCCCTGGTTATGGTAACCAGCACCTCGTCTCTTCCCTGGATGAGGTGAATAGAACCTATGTTTACCCCTGGTTTATCCAGGCAACTACATGTTACTGTGGCCCAAACTGCGGTATCTATGCCGCACTTTACCTTGACACTGATGTTTGAGAGTGATTGTCCAGGCTGGTAGGTGAGGGCACCCAGAAACGCCTCATCCAACATGCCACCATCATCTTCGTCCAACACAGAGTAGGTCTTTCCTCCTGTATTCATTGCCAGACTTTCCAGGGCCATGTCTGCGTCTTTCCTTTAATAGAATTGAAATAGTTTATTATGCCAGAAAGTTAAATAAAAAAATTATTATTATTTATTCTTTAATAAACTTGGATGAGCCTTTTGAGAGTTGTTGCTATCTTTAGAAGGGTTTCTGATAAATTACATTTAAATTAAGATATCTAAATAGAATGGAGTAGAAATCTGAGTCATATCGAGTGCATAATTTACAGTCAATAATTTATAACACTACTACACATCCATATACATGTATAATAATATAATTTAGATGTACACAATTGTCTTACCTGTAGGAGAGATGCAAAAAGAAAACTATATTTTCAAATGAGTTGAAGAAAACTAATAATTGTGTCAATGGCTGTCTTAATAAAGAACTGAGCGAATGACTGTCTTTTTAATTAAATAAGTGACTGACTGTCTTATTAAGTAACTGGGTGAGTGAATGAGAAACTGACTAAAATAACTCCCTGATCCTTAAATTCATACTGTAGTACCCGAAACTATGTCAAGCGTTCGACTCCTGAGGCCTATGAAACACTTGGTACTACTCTCGCGCCTCCACCATCTGATGCTGCTGAATGTTGCCACATCTTAGTTAAACAATTCCCTGTGTTTGCTTTTATCTAAGATGTTCGTAAATATAATCTGCGTATACTCAATATACGTTGACTCTACCGGGGAAGTTCCCCACAAGCCGCTGTCGTTGTTAAATGAAAGGGCGGGGAGCCTAATCACTATTGAGGCCCACTCCTCGCCACATTTTATGCAGAGCCCTATTATCCCGGGCTTGTTTTTTGTGTTGTCAGTTGCCATTGGGGATATACCATCGCCGACTGCTGCAGATGTGATCGTCCTAGATTTTTGTGTGTGTTTTTACGGGGCCTTGGGGGCGGAAAAATATGAGTAAAAAGAAATTAAGCTAGAAAAAAAAGGTTGTATTAATCTACACCACAAAGATGACGGAAAACCAGCTTTTTAAAGTGAGACAGATTGTATAAGTAATGTATGGAAACACAGAAGAAGGCAGAGCATTCCACAGCTTGTCTGTGCGAGGAAAGAAGGATGTAATATAACGGGTTATTCTAGTGTCACCGACATCCACAGAGAAACGGTGGGCACCGCGGGCAAGCCGTGTGTTACGATCCCACGGCCTTGCCGGCGGTACACAGGATGCCAAATCCACCGAACACTGCCAGTGAAAGTACTGTAAGAGAGAGTGAAGCAAAATTGCGACGAAAAGAAAGGGAAGAGAGATTATCAATTAAAAGAGGAGAGTCAATAAGACGAAATGCCTTTGATTCCACCCTATCTAACAGTTGGACAGAAGAAGAGCCACCCCAGATATGAGAACAGTACTCCAAGTTAGGACGAATGAGTCTCTTATAAACTTGATGCAACTGCTCAGGAGTGAAATAGCTACGGCATCTGTACAGCATTCCCAGATTTTGGGAGGCAGCTTTAGCAATGCTGAGGATGTGTGGCTTCCATGACATATTCGAAGAAATGGTTAGGTCTAGCATATCCATTTTGAATTTGGCAGAATGATTGCGTCCTGAAATGTGATTGGTGGGAGATCACCTAATTTGAAAAGTGTAATTGGCAAATACTGAGTTTTATTACGATTGAATTTAATCAAGTTTCTACCTCACCATTCGGAGATGCTGAACAGATCCACATTGATAAATTAAATGATATCAGCTCTAGAAATATATCTAGTTTGTGAATTAGGAGGTAGGGAAAAATGTGAAGAAGAGGGAAGAGTAGAATCATGAGTGTACGAATGGATAGAATTAGTCGTACTGTGAAGTTGTTTCTATACACTTAAAGAACAATTGCTCTATCTCTTAGACCAGAAACTGCTGTACATAAAAAAAGCTGCTGCATTTAAGGAAGACAGTGTATTTGAGGAAGAAAGTGTATTTGTGGAAGAGAGTGTATTTGAGGAAGACAGTGTATTTGAGGAAGAAAGTGTATTTGAGGAAGAAAGTGTATTTGAGGAAGACAGTGTATTTGAGGAAGAGAGTGTATTTGAGGAAGACAGTGTATTTGAGGAAGACAGTGTATTTGAGGAAGAAAGTGTATTTGAGGAAGAAAGTGTATTTGAGGAAGACAGTGTATTTGAGGAAGAAAGTGTATTTGAGGAAGACAGTGTATTTGAGGAAGACAGTGTATTTGAGGAAGAAGGTGTATTTGAGGAAAAGAGTGTATTTGAGGAAGAAAGTGTATTTGAGGAAGACAGTGTATTTGAGGAAGAAAGTGTATTTGAGGAAGAAAGTGTATTTGAGGAAGAAGGTGTATTTGAGGAAGACGGTGTATTTGAGGAAGACAGTGTATTTGAGGAAGAAAGTGTATTTAAGGAAGACAGTGTATTTGAGGAAGAAAGTGTATTTGAGGAAGAAAGTGTATTTGAGGAAGAAAGTGTATTTGAGGAAGACAGTGTATTTGAGGAAGAAAGTGTATTTGTGGAAGAGAGTGTATTTGAGGAAGAGAGTGTATTTGAGGAAGACAGTGTATTTGAGGAAGACAGTGTATTTGAGGAAGAAAGTGTATTTGAGGAAGAAAGTGTATTTGAGGAAGACAGTGTATTTGAGGAAGTGTATTTGAGGAAGACAGTGTATTTGAGGAAGACAGTGTATTTGAGGAAGAAGGTGTATTTGAGGAAGAGAGTGTATTTGAGGAAGAAAGTGTATTTGAGGAAGACAGTGTATTTGAGGAAGACAGTGTATTTGAGGAAGAAGGTGTATTTGAGGAAGAAGGTGTATTTGAGGAAGCGAGTGTATTTGAGGAAGAAAGTGTATATGTGGAAGAGAGTGTATTTGAGGAAGAAAGTGTATTTGAGGAAGAAAGTGTATTTGAGGAAGAAAGTGTATTTGAGGAAGACAGTGTATTTAAGGAAGAAAGTGTATTTGTGGAAGAGAGTGTATTTGAGGAAGACAGTGTATTTGAGGAAGACAGTGTATTTGAGGAAGACAGTGTATTTGAGGAAGACAGTGTATTAGAGGAAGAAGGTGTATTTGAGGAAGCGAGTGTATTTGAGGAAGAAAGTGTATTTGTGGAAGAGAGTGTATTTGAGGAAGAAAGTGAATTTGAGGAAGAAAGTGTATTTGAGGAAGAAAGTGTATTTGAGGAAGCGAGTGTATTTGAGGAAGAAAGTGTATTTGAGGAAGAAAGTGTATTTGAGGAAGACAGTGTATTTGAGGAAGAAGGTGTATTTGAGGAAGAGAGTGTATTTGTGGAAGAGAGTGTATTTGAAGAAGAGAGTGTATTTGAGGAAGAGAGTGTATTTGAGGAAGTCGGTGTATTTGAGGAAGACAGTGTATTTGAGGAAGACAGTGTATATGAGGAAGTCGGTGTATTTGAGGAAGACAGTGTATTTAAGGAAGACAGTGTACTTGAGGAAGACAGTGTACTTGAGGAAGACAGTGTATTTGAGGAAGAAGGTGTATTTGAGGAAGAGAGTGTATTTAAGGAAGAAGGTGTATTTGAGGAAGTCGGTGTATTTGAGGAAGACAGTGTATTTAAGGAAGACAGTGTACTTGAGGAAGACAGTGTACTTGAGGAAGACAGTGTATTTGAGGAAGAAGGTGTATTTAAGGAAGACAGTGTACTTGAGGAAGACAGTGTACTTGAGGAAGACAGTGTATTTGAGGAAGTCGGTGTATTTAAGGAAGAAGGTTTATTTGAGGAAGAAAGTGTATTTAAGGAAGAAGGTGTATTTGAGGAAGAAGGTGTATTTGTGGAAGACAGTGTATTTGAGGAAGACAGTGTACTTGAGGAAGACAGTGTATTTGAGGAAGAAGGTGTATTTGAGGAAGACAGTGTATTTGAGGAAGACAGTGTATTTGAGGAAACAGTGTACTTGAGGAAGACAGTGTACTTGAGGAAGACAGTGTATTTGAGGAAGAAGGTGTATTTGAGGAAGAAGGTGTATTTGAGGAAGACAGTGTATTTGAGGAAACAGTGTACTTGAGGAAGACAGTGTACTTGAGGAAGACAGTGTATTTGAGGAAGAAGGTGTATTTGAGGAAGAGAGTGTATTTAAGGAAGAAGGTGTATTTGAGGAAGTCGGTGTATTTGAGGAAGACAGTGTATTTGAGGAAGACAGTGTATTTGAGGAAGAGAGTGTATTTAAGGAAGAAGGTGTATTTGAGGAAGTCGGTGTATTTGAGGAAGACAGTGTATTTGAGGAAGAAGGTGTATTTGTGGAAGACAGTGTATTTGAGGAAGACAGTGTATTTGAGGAAGACAGTGTATTTGTGGAAGACAGTGTATTTGAGGAAGACAGTGTATTTGAGGAAGACAGTGTATTTGAGGAAGAGAGTGTATTTGAGGAAGAGAGTGTATTTGAGGAAGAAGGTGTATTTGAGGAAGACAGTGTATTTGTGGAAGACAGTGTATTTGAGGAAGACAGTGTATTTGAGGAAGACAGTGTATTTGAGGAAGAGAGTGTATTTGAGGAAGAGAGTATATTTGAGGAAGAAGGTGTATTTGTGGAAGACAGTGTATTTGAGGAAGACAGTGTATTTGAGGAAGACAGTGTATTTGAGGAAGAAGGTGTATTTGTGGAAGACAGTGTATTTGAGGAAGACAGTGTATTTGAGGAAGACAGTGTATTTGAGGAAGAGAGTGTATTTTTGGAAGACAGTGTATTTGAGGAAGACAGTGTATTTGAGGAAGACAGTGTACTTGAGGAAGACAGTGTACTTGAGGAAAAGAGTGTACTTGAGGAAGACAGTGTATTTGAGGAAGACAGTGTATTTGAGGAAGACAGTGTACTTGAGGAAAGAGTGTACTTGAGGAAGACAGTGTATTTGAGGAAGACAGTGTATTTGAGGAAGAGAGTGTATTTAAGGAAGAAGGTGTATTTGAGGAAGACAGTGTATTTGAGGAAGACAGTGTATTTGAGGAAGACAGTGTAGTGTTTGAGGAAAAGAGTGTACTTGAGGAAGACAGTGTATTTGAGGAAGACAGTGTATTTGAGGAAGACAGTGTACTTGAGGAAGACAGTGTACTTGAGGAAAAGAGAAAGTGTATTTGAGGAAGAAGGTGTATTTGATAAAGAAGTATTTAAGGAAATATAGTAAGGAGGAAGTCAAGTATTTGGAAGAAAGGTATTTGAGGAAGACAGTAAATGAGGAAGAAGTATTTGAGGAAATATGTATTTGAAGAAAGTGTATTTGGAGGAAGCAAGGTATTTATGAAGGGAGGCATTTGAGGAAGAATAAGTATTTGAGGAAGTCGGTGTATCGGATAAAGACAGTATTTGAGGAAGACAGTATAGTGAGGCCGGTGTATTTGAGGAAATAGGTGTATTTGAGGAAGAGAGGTATTGGAGGAAGAGAGGCACGGAGGAAGAAGGTGCATTTGAGGGAAGAAAGTGTATTTGAGGAAGACAGTGTATTTGAGGAAGAAAGTGTATTTGAGGAAGACAGTGTATTTGAGGAAGAGAGTGTATTTGAGGAAGCGAGTGTATTTGAGGAAAGTGTATTTGAGGAAGAAGGTGTATTTGAGGAAGTCGGTGTATTTGAGGAAGACAGTGTATTTGAGGAAAGAAGTGTATTTGAGGAAGAGTGTATTTGAGGAAGAAGTGTATTTGAGGAAGACAGTCGGTGTATTTGAGGAAGACAGTGTATTTGAGGAAGAAGGTGTATTTGAGGAAGAAGGTGTATTTGAGGAAGCGAGTGTATTTGAGGAAGAAAGTTTAGTATTTGAAGAAGAAGGTGTATTTGAGGAAGAAAGTGTATTTGAGGAAGACAGTGTATTTGAGGAAGAGAGTGTATTTGAGGAAGAGAGTGTATTTGAGGAAGTCGGTGTATTTGAGGAAGACAGTGTATTTGAGGAAGACAGTGTATTGAGGAAGTGTATTTGAGGAAGACAGTGTATTTGAGGAAGAAGAGTGTATTTGAGGAAGAGAGTGTATTTAAGGAAGAAGTGTATTTGAGGAAGAGTGTATTTGAAGACAGTGTATTTGAGGAAGACAGGTATTTGAGGTATTTAAGAAAGTGTATTTGAGGAAGACAGTGTATTTGAGGAAGAGGAAGAACAGTGTATTTGAGGAAGACAGTGTATTTGAGGAAGACAGTGATGAGGAAGTGTATTTGAGGAAGAAGTGTATTTGAGGAAGACAGTGTATTTGAGGAAGACAGTGTATTGACAGTGTACTTGAGGAAGACAGTGTATTTGAGGAAGACAGTGTATTTGAGGAAGACAGTGTATTTGAGGAAGAGTGTATTTGTATTGAGGAAGACTGTACTTGAGGAAGACAGTGTATTTGAGGAAGACAGTGTATTTGAGGAAGATAGTGTATTTGAGGAAGAAGTGTGAGGAAGAGTGTATTTGAGGAAGATAGTGTATTTGAGGAAGGTGAGTGTATTTGAGGAAGATTGTGTATTTGAGGAAGAGAGTGTATTTGAGGAAGACAGTGTACTTGAGGAAGACAGTGTACTTGAGGAAGACAGTGTCCTTGAGGAAGACAGTGTACTTGAGGAAGACAGTGTACTGTACCCGAAGGCGACTGTGACGACTCTGGCTCCTGAATTGATGACGTTGGTCATGACGTCGCTGATGTGCGGTTTTTTCGTTTCCTCTCCGTCAGTAATTAAGAGAATGATGGCGTTCTTCTTGTCCTTGATCACCAGCGGCTGCCAGGGTGTGGGAGAACAAGTGATTAACCAGTTACTGATCAAGTCTGAGACGTACTACCCAAACTTAGACACAGATTTTGTTTTTTTTATAATCTCTCTCTCTCTCTCTCTCTCTCTCTCTCTCTCTCTCTCTCTGAAATTGAAATTGCAATCGAAATGTAAATACTTTATTGACAATAGAACTATAACATCAAAAGGACAGGGTAGTATAGTACTCCCACCCTCACCTTTGTCATCTACTTCTGGGGTTTACAAAAAGTTATAAATATTTTAACAATATTTTGCATCAATGAAATAGTTCATTTTAGCATGAACACCGTACTACATTAAAAGAGCAGATAATGTAATCTTACACAAAGATAAATGTCATATGCTTGGAGCAAAATGTTTATACAAGAATTATTTTAATTTTTCCATTATTAATCATCCAACAAACTTGTTTCCTTAAAGTAGTGATCTCACTGTTCCTGGATGGTTGGATTTTTTCACATGCTAATACATAATGTTGTAGTGTATGGGCATCCCTAAGACGACACAGTTGGCCCGCCCCTCCAGTAATATTTGTATCTCAATCTTAATCTCATTATAACAGTGTCAACAGAGGGTAAGTTAGTCCCGTAAGTTACATTGGTGTTTTGTAAAACATACAAATAATAGTGATGAAAACTCTCCCTACATACGGCAATCACTTCTCTTCTTGCTTTTTCCCATTCCTCTCTTTTTCTTTTTATTTCCCTCTTTATCGTTCTAATACTTCCATTGCTAACAATATCTATATACATATTTTTTTCTGCAGCTTTTTTGGCCAAATTTTCAGCCATTTCATTTTAATGAATCTCCACATGTGATGGAATCCATACAAACTGCACAGTACATTCCATTTCTTGCATTACTATGACCAGTCGTTTACAGATATTAACAATATGAAAGTTACATGGATTTTAACTCTTCAAAGCTTCCAATGCACTTTTACTATTTACAAAAATATTTATATTTCTTTACATTTCTCAATAGCAACCTGAAGTCCACAAACTGGTGGAATTTCGCCAAAATTATTGTAAAAGTTTCGGAATATAACATAATATGTTATATAATGACCCCAATATATACTGTAATTGCATAATATATTTACAAACGCATTTGTAATTATCGTGTTTATAAATGCTAAATGCATCTGAAAATATAATTAAATGCGCATTTAGATACTCTCTCAAAACTCTATTTATAAACACTGTAATTAAATACAAATTGCATTTAAATACGTAAATGAGTATTGTCAGATGCTTTACTGCCCATCTCTGGTCTTAGCTTATATAACCGGACGAAGTTTAGTATATGCAGTACAAGTGGAAGACCTCGGATGCATTGAAGTAACATGTCAACCTAAAGTTTCATTTGCATCAAGGCTTTCTAGAGACCTTTAACTTTAAAACACTTTTATGCCAGTTTCATCACCTTGGTTTGACAACTTATGCCTGGAAATAAAACTAATATAAAGTGGTAAAATTTCAGTAATACATGTCACTTAACCGAGAAATACCCACGTCATTAATAGCCAAGGAAAGGCCAGCGCCGATACTGGTGTAGGAGTTCGTCTTCGTGTCTATGAGGTTAGCCAGAGACTCCCTGTTGTAGGCCGTTATCTCCGTCAGCTCAGCCACCCTCTGCGCACTGCCCCTGTAAGTGACAAAACTCTATTATTAATGGATCATATCAATATTTCAAAGTTGTCACAATATTATTTTGGGGACATGTGTAAGAGTGTGTGATCCTAAGAATGAAGTTCATGTAATTTTGAACTCAATAAATTTACACAAATAATAAGCATGGAGATGTGCTTGTTTAAGCTGACATGATAATAATTTTTCGGCTAATAGACATACTAGAAATCTCTCACTACTACTACTACTTTGCTGTCACTCGGAATCGAGTATGACGATCATCCAGCTATGATACAATGATATGAGTTATTAAGGATGTCACCTAGGTTGGTAAGTTTTGAGGTGACTAAAATGGCCGATACGGGACCAATAGGCTCGATCACAGATGTTGCAAATGTGGGGTCTACATCTAGTGTGGGAGGGGCGGCGGCAGCGTATTTCCGGCGTTAGCGCTTGTCTGCCTCGTTTTGCAGTCGGGCTAAATCGAAAGTATTGACACCTTCTTGTGTGGTGGTCCTCCAAGCTTTACGATAAGGAATAATCGTTTCTCAGATGAGGGGGTCTATTTGGCACTTTTTCAGGTTTGTCTTAAGACTATTCTTATATCTTTTCAGTTGCCCATTTGGGTAACGTTTACGATTCTTTAAGTGACTGTAAAGTAGCTGCGTTGGCAGTATACTGTCGTCCATGCGGTAACACGGTCAGTCCAGCCTATTTGTTCATGCTTGTACAGTTGGTGTCAGCAAAAATACTGGCATTTGCTCTCTTGTCTTCCCATCGAACGCGGAGGTGCCTCCTGTATGTGATCCATGTCTCATTGCCATATAGCAGGTTGGGGAGGACCACTGTTTGATATACAGTACGTGTAACTTTGTAGATAATTTCAGCTCCATACAGCTGAAGACACGGTTTCGGAGTCTGCCAAGGGCTTGAGATGCACTTCTGATCTGATGTTGAATCTCTTCATCGATGTCCTCGGTGATGGACAGGTGTGACCCGAGATACTGAAAGTTGGTAGCAATAGAGAGGGTGCGGCTGAACCAGGGGCAGGCTGAAAGAGAATCTGAGTCATACGTACATTCACCTCAAGGCCGAAATGTGAATACGCATCTGGGTAAGTGTTCAGGATCTCCTGTAGGTCGCGTTCAGCCTGGGCGACAAGGGTGAGGTCGTCTGCATACTGAAGCTCAGTAATGGAAGCTGCCGACACCTTTGTTCCTGCCTGGAGTCGTCTTATGTTGAAAAGACCCTTCATCTGGAAGTTGATTATCCACCCCGCAGGCTAAATTGGCACTGGCACGAGCAAGGAAGACAGCCAAGCAAATGAAAAAGAGACTTTGTGACAGTACGCACCCTTGTTTAACCCCCATTTGGATAGATAAGAACTCAGATTGGGTGCCGTTGTGCAGGACACTTCCGTTATTGCCAACGTGGAGTTGCCGAACAATGGTAATGAATTTTGGTGGGCAGCCAAACCGGCTCAGGGTCCACCAGAGGGCTTTCCTGTTGACCGAGTCGAAGGCTTTGATTAGGTCGATGGAAGCCATGTACAGGTCACGATGCTGTTCTCTGCAATTTTCCTGTATCTGACGGGCAGCAAAGATCATGTCAGTGGTGCGACGTGATGGTATAAAGTCACATTGAGATTCTAAGGAAGTTTTTTGCCTCAGGGAGAAGACTGTTTAGGAGGACTGGGGTCATAATTTTGCCAGCTATAGACAGCAGTGAGATCCTGCTTTAGTTGCCACAGTCTGACTGGTCTCCCTTGTTCTTAGAAGTGTTGACGGTGGAGGCGTCTTTAAGAGCTTGGGGGATTTTCTTCTTTACCCATATATTCTCAAGAAAACAGTGAAGATGGCTTTGTACACCTCGGTTGGGATTCCATCAGGCCCTGAGGCCTTGCTATTTTTCATTTGTTTGAAGGCAGTAGCTACCTCATCCAAGGATGGAGAATAGCTGAGGTGGGTCAGCTGTGGATGCTGAGGGACCTGCTGGGTAGTCATGACATCCACATCGGTGTTTCGGTTCAGCAGCGGATGGTAGTGCTCTTTCGAACACTGAAGGAGGCCTTCATCTTCTTTAATTATGAAGTTACCATCCGATGAGCGGACGGAGGCTGTGCAACGAGTGATTGCCCATAAAATTTCTTAGTGGAATTGAAAAATTTATACATCTTATGCTGATAGGCAAATTTTTGTGATTCACATGCATTATTTTTAAACCAGTCGTTCATTAGATTGCGAAGTTCCCACTGGGCCACCGCTTTCTTCTTGTGGAAGGTATCAGCTTAAGTTCGAGACTGAGGGTTGTTCTGCCAGTCAATTAAAGCAGCACGTTTATCACCAACGAGGACATTGATCGCCGGGTCATTTTCATCAAACCAGTCATGGATGTGTTCATTCGATCTGGCCGAGTGTCTCTGCAGGTTTTTGTCATGACAGTGTCGAGAATATCCCATTCGGCTCTGGGATTTGCTTTGCTTGCTGTTGGGTTGTTTATCAGCCTATGTTCGAGCTGCTCTCGGAAGGCATATGCTACCTTTGGATGCTCCAGACGCTTAGTGATAGACCCTCTCTTAGAGGCTTGGTGCTTTTGCCCTTTTGGAGCGACGTGAAGTGAGAGCTTGCCTCTGAGAAGCCGATAAATGATCAGTGTCACAGTGGTCTGAGCCACGCATGGCTCGGGTGATGAAGACATCTCGGCGATATGTTTCTCTGACAATGAGATGCCAGTGTTTGGATTTGGGTGTTGCCACGAACCCTTGAACTTGCCAGCCTGCCTAAAAAAAGTATTGGTGATAGTGGGGTTGTGTGCAGCACACTTGGTGAGGAGGAGTAGGCTGTTGGGATTACACTTGCCTAGTCCATTTCTTCCAATAGTTCCCTGTCAAATGTCAGCATCTCTGCCAACTCTGGTTTTGAAGTTACCAAGGAGCACTATCTTATCTTCTCTGGGGATAGAGTTTAGCACTCAGTCGAAGTTGGCATAAAAGGCCTTCTTGATGTCGTCCTCTGCGTCCACTGTTGGGACATATGCACTGATTAAAAAGGCATGATGTGAGTGATTCAGTGGGACTCGGAGCGTCATGAAGCACTCGTCAATCCCAATAGGCATTTCAGTTAGCCTGTGTAGCATTCGTTTGTGGATGGTAGCCAACTCCATAAATGAGTTGTCTCTCCGCAACAAGCTTACCCTCCCAGAATATGGAATAGCCGGGACTCGCAAATGACCAGCTTCTTTGCCACAAGGGCAGTTCTTCTTCCAGGATGCTCATTTGTGTCAGTATCCAGAAGGGTCATGATATTCCAAGCAGCGACCATAAGAGGTTGTATAGTTTATTTTTATTTGGATCTGTGATTTTGATTGTGTTTTCAACCATATAAGGATGATCTCACTGGGTGCGGTTGCCCAGTCAGTTTGTTTTATTAGGCAGATTATGTTTAAGAAATCTTTTCTAGCCCCTTTCCCATGTGGGGTTAGCATAGTGACTCCCTGAAAGGGCTGCTCAGTCGCACAGACAGGACCGGATTGCATTGCTGTCTAGATCCAAGTGCATAAACTACCATCTTATCTGTGCCGCCCATGTGCAGAGTTGTAGCTAGAGACTCCCGGCAGTCATCTCTGCCTGTCCCCGTCGCCACTCGTCCTTTGCTATAGGACTTTTGGGGGTATAGGTGTTTTGATGATGATGAGAGGTATGATGAGGTGGATGATGGCTTCGCTTGAGTTGATTTATGTGGTGAGGCAGGAGTGCAACCTGGAACAACATATCTTGGGTCTCCCTTTTCCTGCTCCAATGGTGCAAATTTTGCAAGGACTGGGGAGAGGAAGAGTTGCAATGGACTGCCGATATCCCAGATTGTTGGGTTTCGCCTTTGTAGCCTGTTCATCATGCATTGCCTTCGTTAATCTGTGTGGTCGTTGGGTTCCCATGGTGGTCACCTCTTCCGCCTTTACCGCCGTTGGGGTCTTGTTGGAGCTCTGTAAGCGTGTCTGCCTGATGCGGGGCTCCACCTTAGATGTTTCTTTCAGGGTTTACTCCCGTAGCCTTATACATACCAAGGTTAATCCGCAAGGCAGCGGGGTAATGGTTGGTAGGCGCCAGGGTGTGTCCACATGCCAGTGGGCCTATGTGCTGTCCCTCTGGGGCCCATTGTTACTTCTAGATCCCCTGCTGGACTAGCCTGGGCCCACGAGACACCCAGTTACCGTGTGTTGCCATGAGGAGGCACACCAGGAGTTCTTGCTGGTGAAGAGTCCGTGTACTAGCAGGGGAAGACTTAAGCAAGTTGCTTCCCTGTCGGCCACGAGGGCTAGCCAGCGGCGATAGCTGAAATCGATAGGAGGTAAGTAATGCTTGCACCTTAGCACAAAAACATAATGCTGCCACACTAGACGTATTACACCACCCTGTGTGTGAACACACACACACACACACACACACACACACACACACACACACATACACACACGGAAATAGCGTAGTGGCCACATCTCTATTAATACTAACAGAATGCTATTTATTTATCTATCTGACAATATTTCTTGTTATATATCTATTTCTCTTTTTTTATGTTTGTTTATTTGTTAGTCTAATCATCTTTTTTTACTTATTTATTTAATAACCACAGTTTTATCTATTTACCTATTCGGTATATTCATGTATCTATATTACTTTATTTATGTGCTTAAAATTTTTACTTGAATTTCTAACTGGCTGACTTAGAGAGCCAGTATTTGTTGGCGCCTCTCTCAGGTGCATTCAGCCTGTTGCACTTGTATTCTTAATATTCAAATATTCATAATGTTTGACACAAGGATAAAGCGATATACTATATTATACTATTATATTTAACAATTATATGAAATAACTAAAATAAAACAATACCTAGTAAACATGTCTGGACCTCTGAGTGTGAACAGGGATCGCTACCACCGCCACAAGGACAGCAAAAGCAATCCTTGTTTTATTTCACACAAAGCCTGTTCATTCGTATTATTTTTAAGCAACGTGAACCTCCATCGGAGATAGCCTATGCTAACTATGTGG